ATGATATGTTTCATCTGTAGCATCCGGAGTGAGTCACAAAATCAATAGAGAGATGAGCAATCTGGCACGTAGGCTTCTGTATTTTTCCCGATTACGACACACATGAGTTCATGGTCAGATCTAACTTTTAACGAATGAAAATGAGGTATTGTGACATGTGACAAAGACAGGCCAGGCCCAATCACTATAAAATTATACCTTCAACATTAGGAGAGGAGAGGGCGGTTTGCAATCGATCGAGTCTCCCCAGTTCAAGTTCTCCCCATTTAGTGACGAGCCTGGCCGGTCTGATCCTGTCGTGTATTGTTAGATGAAGGAGTGTAAGTAAAACTATGTGAGTATAAAGCTGGTGTTGCGTTTCTTTATTATGCGAGTATGAATGCTTTAGACCAATCACTCCTTGGCGGAGCTGAACCGATGCTCACCAGGCGAGTTGCAAAGTCATGGCGTAATTGATCATGATGACCAGGAACGGCAAGCTGTAGTCGGGTCGCACTTGACGCCTGAAAGCAGTTACGACAGAGGCGACTAATGGGATCGGGTGGTCAGGCTTGCTGACTTGGTTGATGCATGTTATCATATACCAATTGCGTGGGTCGATGCTCGTGATGTCAATCACTGGAATGTCTGGTTCATACTCAACTATTCACAAACCACCAACATATAGCTGGAATATTCCTGAGTGCGGCGTTCAACAACAAACAAAACAAACTAAAAATCAAACGCTTGTCGTATGGGCACCAGAGAGGTGTAATGGGGTTAAACGTCGCGTCCAGTGTGTGTGTGTGTGTGTGTGTGTGTGTGTTGTGTGTGTGTGTGTGTGTGTGTGTGTGTGTGTGTGTGTGTGTGTGTGTGTGTGTGTGTGTGTGTGTGTGTGTGTGTGTGTGTGTGTGTGTGTGTGTGTGTGTGTGTGTGTGTGCTTTACAAGTCCGGATTGATGTCGATTGATAGTGCTAGCAAACTGAGATACCACGCCCCAGTTTATCATGGATACCCCGGACATAGCATACTGGCCCCGAGCCTACCAGTATTTGTTTTATCCCTTTAATACCGAACGCAAGGCAGGGTAACAACAAGTACCATATTTTAACGTCATCAGGTATGACACGGCCGAAAATGGAACCCCAGAGCTTCCGCTCTCCGTTTTTTAAATGTAAACAGCACAATTATTGTTTAGCTATCAGGTGCTAATAAAACACTTATAATTCCTATAAGTAACGTTTTCGCAATGGAACAGATCATTCAAAATCAACGTACGCCCCGAAGTATTCTGCAAAACAGGAATGCCACAAGTTGCCAATCGTGTTAATGTTCACCGAAACACAATATAGTCTCTTTTGGCAACGTTATACAGTTGGTCAACAATCATGACTTGCCATGAGCCTGTCGTCAACGTGTGACGTCGTTAACAAGACAGCCATATTCGGTTTGTGCATCTAAGGAATCGATACTAAACTGCCACATTAACAGATCGTATAATTCCTGGGTTGAGACCAATTAGTGACAGAAGCGTACGCAACGGATTGAGGGGGCACAACATCCACCCCGAAATCCAGAGATACGCCCAATTTCGCAACGTCAGGTACGCATAGTTTGTAGACAGCATCTGAGGTTAACAAACTTGCATAACCCAACGTCGTCAGTTTTGGGGTTCGAACTATTATGGTATGGGGTGGCATCACAACTCATGGGAGAACACAGCTCATCATTGTTTTTGGCAATTTGAATGACGTACACAATAGCTTCTGGGACGACATCTTGGACGAGATCATATTCTACCCTGTGTGCAAATGCACGTGTTGAACACTTTTTTGAGGCAGCATAACGTTGCTGTACTGCCATAGCCGGCTGTTTCTCCTTCCCTCTCCCCATAGAACATGTCTGGGATGATATGTAACGGCGCCTACGACAGTACCAGAACTAGGCGGTGGCACACTCTTTGGTTGACAATTGGATCCAGCAGAAAGGTTCCAGGGAGGAATTCAGATCAAGCCCGTTACGCGAACTCGATCTTTCTCCCTTCACACTGATATTGCAACTTATTGTACAACACGATTTAATACCAGGTTGCTATAAAGTTTGACTTTGTTCAATAAACAACACATGTAAAACAACGGGTTTGGTATAAGAAATCTGTTCTTAATTGTCTTCATAATCACATGTATGGTGCTTGCTGTGCTTAGTTGAGCACAGTATTGTTTCAAGCAGTTCACCGTATGTAATGTATGATTTATAACGTTTCATGCGACGGTTTACGGTTCTGCATGGTTAATTGCTTTGACAGGGTTTTTTTACTTCCGGCAGAGATTATACAATCGTATATGTGCTTTGCTTCAGGATACATAGGAAATCAACAGGTTGGTCTGTAGTTTGCAATTATTTCCCTAAAAAATAATACGGTTGCATGATATATTCACGATGTTTGGGTTGAACAACGTAACATTCTCCTAAACGTACTTCAAATCTAAACCGGAAGTAATCACAACACAAACCCAGCTAACCAAACGGATCCGTACACAAGAGTAATGAGTGAGTGGGTGTGTTGGGTATTCCACGAATTGCAGCGAATTGCAGCGCCTTATGATTGGGCGATCCATGCCCCCGCACACAACTGTAACAGGCTATCATACAACAAAGATGTTTTAGATGAGATATGTATTCCATATCATTCCATGAAGAAACAGTGGTAATATGACACAATCATAAACTACAAAATATATGCACAATAAGTGCCAAACACACAAGCACTTTCAACATAAAAAGGGGGTACATTAAAACAATTCTATTTTAAAACGTGTATTAGAATGACATGGAAACTAAATGAGAATTGAGCTTAACTATGGTAATGTTGTACATACAAGGATTTTGTTTATAATTGTGGATATGAAAACAGATCATTGAAATTGTATTGATGTTTCAATTTTTAGTTTGTGATAACTTAACGACGTTTTGAGAAATGTGACCTTTGAGCTTTGTTTCTACAATATGTAAGTTAGATAATTATCAATTATATAGGACTTGTAATCAATTATTTTATATATTATTGGTACCAATTGAAGTAGCTACCAAGTTCTTCCTGATAGGCCCAGTTATGTGTTTTCTTGTCTTGGTTTGCCTTGTGCTGACCATTTAAAGACATTGAATATTATTATGCTTTCCAATGATAAGTACATTAATAACACCCAATTTGTACTTGACACCAATCCTCTCCGCCCATTGCTACACTTCCTTCATCTGCATATGACATTATATGCAGGGGAGCAATTAATGCGCTGCAGCAATCTCTACTTGTATAAAATTTAAACATCATTTCTTCTTTTCCGCTGTTTGGCTATCAGCCGACTGTCGGTTGGTTTCCTTTGGGAATCGGCTTATGAATAATCCTCCAAGTCATTCCGGTCCAGTGACAAACAAAGAGAGTCCTTAGGGAAATAACTGATGGCTTTTGTATTTTATAATGTCGATACACATAAGGTGGGTATTAATGAGATGTTGAAATTCAAGCATTTGGCATCCGTCGCTGTCGTTTCCAAAAAGAAATATATGTTCAGTACTTCAATAAGCATTTGCATGAATATGACTGGGCGATACCGTAACATTTATTACAGCTTTATAAGGCCCTGACTATTCCAATTCTGATCAAACGTCATTTGAGCAAGAGTCTTTTTACGCTCTTTGATATCTTCGTGGAACGAGCATGCTCGATTGTACCTAAAAATTATGGAATCAAGGAAAAGTTGACTATTGGGAAGTTGAAGTAATCCCTCTTGTCACGAGTCTCGTGGAGAGTTTTTCGTCACTCTCAATCTCTACGCACAGATCTAAATATGAAACAGATGAGGCAGTTACACGGGTCTGTTTCATTTCTACCCCTGTATATACTGTGGATACATCAGTGTAAGTACATTGGCTATAAGTTAAACGCCTAATTCCTTTGTTTTGAGTTTGCCAATTCTAGCAGACTCGTATGCATAAAAAGAACAGATCAGCAAGGAGAGGGACACAATTCGTACCCATGGGGATGCCTACTTCTTGCCTAAATGTGATATTCCCAAATATCACATAGTTCTATGAGGAAATCAGCATGTCCGCGTCATACGTAACGACGTTAAAAGATGGTATTTTTATTTTACCCTGCCTGGCGCTCGGAATTAAGGGGCTCATCCAAGGACTGGTCGGCTCAGAGTCATTCAGGTGTATTCCTGTTAAACTGCAGCATTGTATCTCAGTGGGCTAGTACTATAAAATCTGTACTACTCCGGATTATTATAAGTGGATGAGACGTAAGACACCATTTTAATTCACCTAACACAAGTGGGGCGCATATGTTAAATACTGGCAGAGTTGTGTTACAGTATGCTCTGAGGAAACACAGAGAGGCACAGTCGGCCCGAGACAAGGCAGGGGACCCTGAGGGTAGGGACGGGGGCATCTGACCAGAGGAAACATTTCATATTCACCAAATGTCTGTGTGATTCATCTACAGTAAACTACGGTTATAATGAACACGCTCTTAACGAACTGACGGATAAACCGAACTTACTTTTTGGTCCCGACTACTTGCTGTAGTCATGCTGTATATGTACTTATAACGAACTACGGTTATAACGAACTAAAATAAGTGGTCCCTTTGAGTTCGTTATAACCGTAGTTTACTCTACTAACAATGACTTCAATACCCCTCATTCTTGCATGACTTGAAGTACGTCAAATCATGACAGGTGATGGAATATCTACATAAGTATATGTATAGAAAGCCCTGTCCAACATCTCCGGATTGTCTGGTTCGGATTCGAATATTTACAGACCGCCATCATAACACTTACTAAATAAAACTAGACTGTACAATGCCTCCATACACCGCTATCATGTGACGTGTCCTGGACAGTTTTCCACCGGCCTATCCATTACGTTTATATTTTAACTCTGTGTTCGATGTTGTTAGGGGCTACTGAATGGCATTGGTACAAATCAATACACACAATCACAGTTGCTTCAAAAACACAGGCACATTCAACAAGCCAGATCATACTGTTCTACAGATGTGTGCGTGTAACATTTCCTCGAATGGTTGTAAGTATGCAATCTGAGACATATTTTGGTATAAGCTACATATTAAGATAATTATTACATAACATTTTAACTTGTTCTAATGTGCTTATGTAAAGTGTAATTAACACGTCCCATTTTAATTCTGGAAACACAATAGTCCAGAAACTCTACGGTCTTTATCCAGTCTCGGTCAAAGGTATTTACAAAATTGAACATGCTGTTTTCATGGGAACATACCAAGGAAGAACAAATATTTTTCAAAATCTCAATATTTACACTATGTCGCTCATGGGCGAATTGTAGCCCATGAGCGAAGAGTGGCATATGGGTAGGCCCATGGGCAAGAATATATTCCTTTACTTAAAACTCAAGTGTAAGTATCATGATGCAATATTTAATTCATTTTAACTTAATTCAACGATTTTATAGCGATATTGAAATATTTCGCCCATGGGCGAGAATATTTTCCTTTACTCAAAACTCATGGCTTTGTTTCGCAAATACATACAGATGTTCTTACAAGTATCATGACACATAACGTAACTCATGTTTTACTTAATTCAACGATTTTATAGCGTTATTGAAATATTTCGCCAATGGGCGAGAAGAGGTTTGGCCCATGGGCGAGAATATTTTCCTTTCCTCAAAACCTGTGTTTTACTGTCGCAAATACATAAAGGTGTTCTTAGAAGTTTCATGTCACATAATTTAACTCGTTTTAACTTAATTCAACTATTTTATAGCGTTATTGAAATATTTCGCCCATGGTCGAGAATATTTCCTTTTGCTCAAAACTAGTAGTTTTGTTTCGCAAATATACTCACACGCAAAAGAAACGCAAGTGGTTTTGAGCAACTAGGTTACAAACAGGGAACCATAAATTGATACGAGTTTTAGCATGTAGCGAAGCCTGATGGTGTTATTAATATTTTTGGTTGTATTTTGGAAGCCCCGAGTAAAAATCAACATAAAAAACGAATCGCCAAAACGCACCATTTCAATGAATATGTGGGTATCATGCACCCATTTCTCGCGAAATCGAAAATGCACGAACTGTCACGAACTGTAGTGGGTTTAAAACTGTGGCCGATTCCTGGATCTACCACTCCTTGGTCAACAATGCCACGCCTAACTCAAATTCAGAGAAACCAGACTATCGGACGTTTGGAAGCTGGAGAGTCTGTCAAAGATGTTGCCCGTCATTTCAACGTTAACAAAACCACAATTTACCGTCTCCTGCATCGATACAATGCTACACAGACCACATATGACCTTCCTCAGAGCGGTCGTCCTAGGGTCACCACACCTCGACAAGATCGGCAGATTACCCGTCAGCACCAGCGACATCCGTTCCTAACTGCAAGTGAAAGTGCTCGACAGGCCATAGGAACACATAATCGACACATTAGCCGGGACACTGTGATCTGACGTCTCCGTTCCAACAACCTCAGATGTCGCCGACCAGCACGTCGTCCTGTTCTCCAACCACGGCATCGACAAGCACGACTTCATTGGGCACAGGGTCATCACAATAGGCGTCATCGTGAGTGGAGGCGTGTCATCTTCTCTTTTGTGTCTCCCATGCAGACGGAAGAGTCAGACTTCGGCGGCGTCGAGGTGATCGTTTCGCTGACAGAAACGTTGTGGAAAGGGATCCATTGGGTGGACCTAGCGTCATGATATGGACAGGGATTGGACTTAATGTGAGACATGGACCCATGTGCTTTCTGAATGTTGCTCAAAGTCGGGGACACGGCGTCACTGCTCAGCGGTATATCGACCAAGTGATCAGACCACACGTTGTTCCATTTTTTGCACAACATCAACAACACATTTTCCAGCAGGACAACGGTCGTCCCAATGTTGCCAGAGCTACAATGGCCTTTCTGCAACAACACAACATCCGTGTTCTACCGTGGCCAGCCCTCAGCCCTGATCTGAACCCCATGAAGCGCTTGTGGGATGAGGTTCAAAGGCGTCTGTACAACGTGACCCAGTCCCTACAACTGCCGATGAGCACGATTTGCGACAGTAAAACACCGGTTTTGAGGAAAGGAAAATATTCTCGCCCATTGGCGAAATATTTTAATAACCCTATAAAATCGTTGAATTAAGTTAAAATGAGTTACATTATTACTCATGATACTTCTAAGAACATCTGTATGTATTTGCGAAACAAAACCATGAGTTTTGAGTAAAGGAAAATATTCTCGCCCATGGGCGAAATATTTCAATATCGCTATAAAATAGTTGAATTAAGTTAAAATGAGTTAATGATACTTGAAAGAAATACATATATGTATTTGACCGAGACTGGGTAAAGACCGTAGAGTTTCTGGACTATTGGGTTTCCAGAATTAAAATGAGACGTGTTAATTTGAATTCCGCTGTTTCAAACCAGTCACAAGTCTGTGAAAAACTGCCATATCTGCCTTATTAAAAAAATTGCAAAATGTGTAGATGTCGTCATGTGATGTGCATAATTATTGAGATATCGCCACGGGGTATATATACATAAAGTTATCAGAGGCGATGTCGACATAAAATATATATCGTTAAGGTTATCGGATGCGTTGTTATGAATGTGAAGAAGCGCGCGTGCGTGCGTGTGTGTCTGCTGGTACTAGTTAGGACTTTCTTTTAATGTCGGTTTGAATGACGCGGTCAAGGATCGAACAAACCACTGACGTTCCCTTCTCAAGACAGACACTTTATCCACTAGACCACGGAGGAGGTCGATGTTTGAAGTATTCAGGGAATTATTCTAATTAACAGTTTTGACCACCGGATTTCATACAGGTAAATACAGTCCAAGATGACAGATTACTAATTACAACAGTGAGTTTATGGATGGGGCTAGATTTAGGAAAACTGCCTGTACAAAAATCAACGACTGTACACATTCATACGGTGTGATAACGGCTTATGGAGTATTGTACAGTGTATCTTAATAATGAGTGAGTTGGGTTTAACGCCGCTTTTAAAAGTATTCCAGTTATATCTCGGCTTGTCAGCTTAATTTTGGAGGAAAGTCCCGAAGCGATGCAGGTCTCAGACGTTTACCACTTCGGTGAACGTCACAAGCACGGGTATGGTGCTGAGGAACCTAGAAGCATTACCCACCCCCACCCCGTGAATCTTAATAAAAGTAGATTAAGGGTTATATGCACACATAAAAATACTTGAATCCGAAGGTTAATCGAAATTTAAAGTGGATAGTGTGTTCTGTATGATATAGATATTTCATCACGTATGTACTATGTTAAAGAAGGCATGGTTTAACGTACTTCAAGTCGAGCAAGGGATAGGGGGTATTGAAACCATTTTTAGTAGATGAATCATACAGAACCAGGGACAGGTATTTGTTTGGAGTTGCGTTCTTCTGTCATCACAATCGATGGTGTCACTGAATGTAATTTTTTTTATTTTCAGGATTTCGTCTCCTCGGTGAGAACAAGATTTTATTACAATATCTGTGACAACTCCTGATCATCATATCAGTAAACAACATGGGATGTTCTGAAATGACCGTGTCCTCGTTATCTACTGGTCAGGTGCTCCCGTCCCTACCCCCAGCGACCCCTGCCTTGTCCAGGGCAGACTGTGTCTCTATGTGCCTCTTCAGTGCATACTGTACCACGATGTTCTACAACAAGGAAACCAAGTCTTGTCATCTGATGGAAGGCTTCAAGCAGACACAGCTGGTAGCCACCTCCGAGCCTATTGAACACCTGGTGTTGGGCAAAGGTAAGATTACAGCTTCTACAAGGAACATTCTAAAATAATACGGCCTCAGGAATATATACACGCCCAAATAGATCACATAAAAGAAGGAACTTTATTACGACGTCAGGTTACAGAATAAAAGAATTTAAAGATGGTTTGTGCTGACAGTGAGAACATGAAAAGGCAGGATGCCTTAGTGTATTGTGTGCTGCGTGTGTTGCTGGAACTGAAATAAGAGCTATCAACAAATATTATGAAAGGAGAAAGTGTATACAGTTCGGTAAATTGCGAATGACTTAAGAATGACCATTCATTGTGAATAGACTGTTTATGAGATCTTTGTGATGATTTCGGGCTATTGAGGCATTTACACCAAATGGAATCTGTTTCGTCCTATAGTTGGATTATACTTGCCTTTTCGTTCTATATCACTTGGATCTTTCCTCCCACATGAAGCTGACACGCCGTGATATACGTGAATACTGTGTAAAGCAGCGTTAGAGGATAAACGAGAGGTAAATATGGTTCAGTGTAGGTTTTACGCCGCTTTTAGCAATATTCCAGCAATATCACGGCGGGGAACACCATTGTACCCATATCGGGAATCGAACCCGGGTCCTCGGCGTGACGAGCGAACGCTTTAACCAGTAGGCTACCCGACGGCCCCCCTACATATATATGGCTTGACCCGTGAAGATCCGGGGTAGAATAGGTCTTCAGCAACCCATGCTTGCCGTAGAAGGCGACTATGCTTGTCGTAGGAGGCGACTAACGGGATCGGGTGGACAGGCTTGCTGACTTCGTTGATGCATGTCATTGATTCCAGTTGCGTGGATCGATGCTCATGATATTAATCACTGGGTTGTCTGGTCCAGACACGATTATTTACAGACCTCCGTCATAAAGATGGAATATTGCTGAGTGCGGCGTTAAACAACCAACCAACCATATATGGTTTAGCTGTCCATGGGAAGTTGTGGTTTTGACTGAAGTGTAATCGTGATTGTTGAAACAAATGAATCAAAAATTACGTTTCACCATTTCTGTTGTTATATAAGTAAATCTGACTGCTTTACACCTCCGGTGTACGCCAAGGTTGTGTTTTCGTTCGTTGTTGTTTATATTTTTCATAAATGGACTTGCTACAGAGTCGCAAAATAGTGGCCAACAAGGGATATTTGTAACACATGTCAACAAATAATGGACATTATGCTCCTTCTATTTGCTTATGATGTTGTACAATTATTTCAAATGGCTTGCAAAAGCAGTTTAATGTGTTATTGTTCAAAATGGAGTCTTGAAGTACATCTTAATAAAACCGATGTTGTAGTTTTTAGAAAAGGTGGTATTGTTGCAAAACATGAAAAGTGGTGTCGGCCTTGAGTGTAGTCACTTACTATAAATATTTAGGTCTTATGTCCTCCTCTAGATTGTCATGGTCTATGGCATGTAAGCAATTAGCTGTTCAGGCGTCGAAAGCCATTATGCCTCTTTATAATGTATTCAGGAAAAATAGTCGTGTGTCTTTTTTCACAGCATGTACCATTTTTGAGGGCAAAATTATGCCTATACTTTTGTATGGTTCTGAAATATGGAGTGCTAAGTATTACGCTGCAATTGAAAAAGTTCACACTTCATATTTCAAATGTTTTCTTAGTGTTGGTAAGTTTGCCACAAACAAGGCATTCCTTGGTGAAACAGGCCGTGGTAATATTTTTGTAGCCAGCCAATTGAGGGTAATTAAGTATTGGATTAAATTACTTGGAATGATGCCTGATAGATACCCACATCAGTGTTACAAAGTGTTAAAGGTAATTGATGATAATGGTAAAAATAATTGGATTTCGGATGTGAGAAATCTGTTATTTGTTAGTGGCTTTTCATATGCATGGATTTCACAAGATGTGGGAGATCCACAGTTATTTTTATATTCATTTAAGCAAAGACTAAAGGATGTATTTTGTCAACAGTGGCACCAAAGTATTTCTGAATCACGTTATCTTAGCAATTACAGCAAAGTAAAAACATTGTTACAAAGATATTTAACTTGTTTAAATGATAAAAGTTTAATCAGAGCTTATTGTAAACTTAATTTCATGGCATAATTTTAATGTAAATATATGTCGCCAAAGACGGTGATTGTGAACTCTATTTGTACAAACTGCTCATCCGGAGAAGTAGAGGGTGAATACCATGTCTTACTTATATGTGAAACGTTTTCCCATTTAAGGTATACATTTCTCCCCATGCAGCAAGGTATATAATACTAACGTAACATAATATACAAGACAGGTGTAAAATACAAATGTGACATAACATACAAGACAGGTGTAAAATACAAACGTGACATAACATACAAGACAAGTGTAAAATACAAACCTGACAAAATGTAAAAGACGGGTGTAAAATACTAACGTGACCTAACGTACACGACAGGCGTACAATACTTACGTGACATAACATACAAGACAGGCGTAAAATACTAACGTGACATAACATACAAGACAAGTGTAAAATACTAACGTGACAAAACATACAATACAGGCGTAAAATACAAACGTGGCATAACATACAAGACAAGTGTAAAATACTAACGTGACATAACGTAAAAGACGGTGTAGAAATAACGTGACATAACATACAAGACAGGCGTACCATACTAACGTGACATAACGTACACGACAGGCGTAAAAACTGACGTGATATAACGTACACGACATATGTAAAATACTAACGTGAAATAACATACAGGACGGGCGTAAAATACTAACGTGACATAACGTATTTTACGCCTGAAGTGTATATTATGTCACGTTAGTATTTTACGCCCGTCTTGTATGTTATGTCACGTGAGTATTTTACGCCTGTAGTGTATGCTATGTCACGTGAGTATTTTACGCCTGTCTTGTATATTATGTCACGTTAGTATTTTACGCCTGTCGTGCATATTATATCACGTTAATATTTTACGCCTGTCTTGTATGTTTTGTCACGTAAGTATTTTACGCCTGTCGTGCATATTATTTCACGTTAGTATTTTACGCATGTCGCGTATATTATGTCAAGTTAGTATTTTACGCCTGTCGTGTATAATATGTCACTTTAGTATTTTACACTTGTCTTGTATGTTATGTCACGTTAGTATTTTACACTTGTCTTGTATGTTATGTCACGTTAGTATTTTAGTGAGTATTGTATGTTATGTCTCGTTAGTATTTTAGTGAGTATTGTATGTTATGTCACGTTAGTATTTTAGTGAGTATTGTATGTTATGTCACGTTAGTTTTTTAGTGAGTATTGTATGTTATGTCACGTTAGCATTTTAGTGAGTATTGTATGCCTCGCCATTTAGTGTTCCTGAATGTCATGTCACATTATCGCCTGCGTCATGTCTCGTTAGTATAATATAAATACTACTGCTTAAGCTATTACTACTACTACCACTACTACTATCACCATTACTACTACTACTACTACTACTACTACTACCACTACTACTATCACCATTACTACACTACTACTACAACTACTACTACTACTACTACTACTACTACCACCACTACTACTATCACCATTACTACACTACTACTACTACTACTACTACTACTACTACTACTACTACTACTACTACTACTACCACCATTACTACTACTACTACTACTACTACTACTACCACTACTACTATCACCATTACTCCACTACTACTACTACTACTACTACTACTACCTCTTCTACTACTACCACTACTACTATTACTACTACTACTACTATTCTACTCTTGAAGTACTCTCTAATTCAATGATCTATCACTGAATCAAATTTAGAGTAGCACATTTTAGTAATACAGGTACAGACATCCACACATCAAGAGTAGTAGTAGTAGTAGTAGTAGTAGTAGTAGAAGTAGTAGTAGTAGTGGTAGTAGTAGTAGTAGTAGTAGTAGTAGTAGTGAAGTAATGGTGACAGTAGTAGTGGTAGTAGTAGTAGTAGTAGTAGTAGTAGTAGTGTAGTAATGGTGATAGTAGTAGTGGTAGTAGTAGTAGTAGTAGTAGTAGTAGTAGTAGTAGTAGTAGTAGTGAAGTAATGGTGATAGTAGTAGTAGTAGTAGTAGTAGTAGTAGTAGTAGTGTAGTAGTGGTGATAGTAGTAGTGGTGGTAGTAGTAGTAATAGTAGTAGTAGTAGTAGTAGTAGTAGTAGTAGTAGTAGTAGTAGTAGTAGTAGTATACACACTGTATACAAAAGAGAGACCACACTGCAGTGCTGGGGAGCATGGGTTGCTGTGATCACACATGATAATATGACATTCCGGCTTGAAAGCTGCACGCGAGAAGAGTCGTCTCGGCAAAGTGAGCCATATGGGATATATACACCCACGAGTGTTCTGAGACATTTGGATGCTAGAAGCAACTGTAGTTTCAAGTTAGTTCTTTGTGCCCCTGGAAGCCAATGTTGGGATTGTAGAGCTGGAAATATATTGTTCTTCCAGCGGCAACACGCGTTTTAAAGTTTCTGTCCTTTGGCCAGTATTGAGCCAGAGATGTTGACAAAAGTAATTGAGTTTTAAACCCCCCAAATATTTGCATGAAACGTTTTGTTTCTCTGGATGTTCAGCGGGTAACGCAACGCTTATAACGCGGTACTGTTGCAAGGGAACGCGAAAGTACATCGAGGGGATGCTATAAATATGCTATTTTACGATGACAGACAGCAGTTTTCGTAATGTAATGTGAAAGAAACATGATTTGTAGAGAGATTTGACATATTCCTTAGTGAGTGAGTAAGTATAATTTTACGCCGCTTTTAGCAATATTCCAGCCATATCACGGTGGGGGGCACCAGAAATTGCCTTCACACATTGTACCCATGTCAGGACACGAACCCGGGTCTTCGGTGTGACCCGTTTAACCACTAGGCTACCCGACCGCCCCGTGTTCCGTAAGTGACATGTTGGACTGAAAGAAAACTACAAGGTTTCTTGTTGAGCCTTTTACTTCATCATTTCCTATTTTGATGTTACATCCAACTTGTCACTGATGGCTATATATTCCAGCTCCCTGTCCGCTCGAGTCAGGCTATCTGTACAGCCGGAGACTGAACATGTGTTACAAGAAGCACACAGACCTTAAAGCGTGGCCTGACGCCAAGACAGCATGCTCAGCAGTGGGCAGCTACCTCGTCATCATCAACAGCGCTGAACGGAACCAATTCATGTACGACATTGCGGCAGATATTGGTAGGTCACGTGTAGGATGTTTTGTGAGTGATTGAGTCAGCGAGTGAGTGAGTGAGTGAGTGAGTGAGCGAGTGAGGCAGTGAGTGAGGCAGTGGGTGTCAGCGAGTGAGTGAGCGAGGCAGCGAGTGAGGCAGTGAGTACGTGAGTAAATCAGTCTGTCAGTATGTTAGTCAGTCTGAGGTACGATGTCACACACACTCAGCCAAGTCACACATACAAAGCACCCAATGCTCACAAGTCGTCATTTGTGATTAGCCTATTCTATTCTAAAAGGACGATGAATGCTTATTGGATAGAATAATAAAATAAAAATTCCTGACATTGTACTTCCTGACAATGCACTATTTCAGCCGAGCTTATGCAATTGCTGGATCAGGTCTTTTGTCCATAACTAACATTACGTAAATGTTTATTAAACAAATTTCTATTACAGGAACGTTTTGGACGAGCGGGAATATAATGGGATCATCCTGGAGATGGGGAGACAACTCTTCAGTTGCTGAGCCCACCTTCTGGAGCCCCCGGGAACCCGAGATAGATCATCCAACCCACAAATGTCTCACCTTCTATGACCTGAGCCTCCCCAACAGCTGGCACGCTGGTGACTGTTACATCCATCCAATGGCCTACGTCTGTGAAATATCTATGTAGACAGTTGTGTTTTGCTCCATGGACATTCGTGAATGTTTTCAGCAGGTTATCATATATGTAACAACTTTAGCAGTTATACTGGCATCTTGTTAAAAGCAAAAACACACTGCATATATACATATACCTGAGCCTCCCCAACAGCTGGCACTCTGGTGGCTGTTACCATCATCCAATGGCCTGTCTGTGAAATATCTATGTAGACAGTTGTGTTTTGCCCCATGGACTTTCGTGAATGTATTCATAAGGTTATCATATATGTAACAACTTTAGCAGTTACTCTGCTAGTATTAGACAGGTTCTAATATCCGAATACGCCGACACACTGATTAGGCTGAGCTATTGGTTAGGTTGATATGTCAGATGTAATGTTGACCTTAAACATAAACGAGATAGTTTGAAGTGCAATCTGGTGAAATAATAAATAACGCTGAAACGTCGCATTAATTCCTTGTGGTCTTTACTTCTTTCGTGATAGGACTGTCAATTTGATTAACATTTGCGATGACCACAAAATAACCACACAGAAGATTAAAATTTTCTGCATTATTATTCACAAAATCAATGAAGCATGTCTCCAGTGATGTTTCACACACTGCGATAAAATGCCGACGTTCTAGAAGAGTGATTGGGTATGGTTTTACGACGCTTTTAGCAATGTTCCAGCAATATCACGGCGGGGGACACAAAAAATGGGCTTCACACATTGTACCCATGTCGGGAATCGAAACCCGGGTCTTCGGCGTGACGAGCGAACGCTTTAACCACTAGGCTACCCGACCGCCCCACGTTCTATAAGAAATAGAAAGACAAGAGTGATATAGATAGAAAAAAAATGTATCATATTCTGCAGTAAAGAGTGTCATATATTCTGTTTCGGCAGAAAATATAGGATGGTTATTCTCTTGCATTGATACTTTATATTAACGAGTCACGTAAATGAAAGAATGAAAGTCACGTGCCATAGCAGAAATTAACTTAGCTCAATCGAACTGCTATTTTGTACATAAAAATATCAATATGCTTTAATTATTTTATAGTCTTTGTACTGGTGTTTTTGCATGATCTACGCCGACTTTCAACCTGGTATAGACGGCCGCTGTGTGAGAAAAATAGAATATTTTATTCATTATGTGCCGTTTATAACATTTATTTAAATATGAGTTAAACAGATCAATACTTCAAACACATTAAAAATCGACACGTATTATTTTACTTCCAGAAAATGGCCTCCCTTTAGAATTCAGGGGTCCGTCCCACAAAGCTTTTGTAGCGCTAAGGTGATCGAATCTCCAATACTTTAACATAGACTTGTGATTGTCGTTGCGCTTCAGTCGCTTTGTAGAACGGGGCTCAGCACCACGAAGTTTACAAACACCTCACAATATACTATGACGTAATTTGTGAAATTTGTTGCAATGTACACTGGCGAAACACTGTGCAATACCAGCATATTGTTATTAAACAGTGGTATCTTCAACTGGCAAGTAATAAATCACATCTCTCCATAAGGGTTTCAAATAATTAATTATTAGATAAAATCAGCAGCATTTGACGATTCGAGTGATACACAACTTGATTTCAAATATACTATTTAAAGATGTACTTGTCGCCAAACTTCAGACTACAGTGGCGGACATAATGCCAAATATGACACTAATTTCACTTTTCTGACTTTTGCCTTCCGAATGAGGATGATATTAATACAGACGAAAACATGCGCCAAACCAATGAGCAGTTTGAATGGCCTAAATACATGTTAAGTGTAATGCGTATGACTTTGTTGGTTGCAATGTGTGAGCTGACGGAGGTTATCGTTGCTCTATCGACAACCATGGCCCAAATAATGTGATACAGCTGCAGTATTTCTGATTACTGTTTTTGTTATTCCCATGCTTGGACACTATATGCTGTTAAAGAAGAGTATATCTGATACAGTGAAATTCCGTCAATCCGGACATAATCATCGCATGTACATATGTAGACCGGGCCAACGAGGTAGCACTCTATTCTAATATATGATTAATATAGTATTGTTACCATTCGTAGGATGCTTAGTGAGACCAATTATAAAAACCTTTGTAAAACACGTTAAAGCGTCTTACAAGGTACATATTCACACACACACACACACACACACACACACACACACACACACACACACACACACACACACACACACACACACACACACACACACACACACACACACACACACACACACACACACACACACACACACACACACAAAGCTGCTGGTGTACTAGTTCATCAAATAAAATACCAAGTGTCATTTTTCTTGAAATTCCCTTGCAAAAGGCCTTTTTGCGAGGAGGATAGTTTGGATAAAGCGAAAAGGAAAATAGAAACCGACTGGACATGCCGTTTTGTGATTCTTGCATTTTGAGACATTTGTCTATGATATCGATCTACACAAACTAAACGAACTTGGTTACGTAATAAATTTAGCATTCATTCTTACATATAATCCATGACTGACTACCCTCGAACAACAATTACAAAGGATCATGCACATTGATCAGATTACATGCTAAGGTTACATATTTGGCACAATTTTTCTGTACCAAAATTCACATATTCAGTTCATGGTCTTGAGTACTTGAAACTGTTGTCTGATTTTGCAAGAAAGGTCTCTTTTATTTTATTCACAAAATATGCAGGAAGAACTTTACTACATTTCTTACGGTGCCAAACCCCTCCTCCCCTTAAGCTGAGGGGAGGAGGGCGTCTCATTTGCGCATCACTGAAACCAGAACACCACTCAACACAAATCTCGAAAGCATTGAGTAAAATTACTGAACATATATCGAAAAAAAATTAAATATATAATGGAAACTTTTGCATACACCATTTAGCATTTTTAAGTTGTTGAATCTGCATACCAAATACGATTTTATATGAGTCCCGCGTACCACATCGTTGAGTATTGAATACCCTCTAAACTATCCCCCACAGTCCGGCGTACTGAATGGGGGTTGGAAGCCTCATTTATTGGGACGTCTAAAATAAACTGGACTTGAAGGTGAGAATCTTTTGTGTGCAAAGTATCTGTAAGCCCTGAAATTAATTAAGTCCTCATTTTAAAAAAGAACATAAAACTCGTTAATACTCACCACAACGCACATTATATGTACCTTTTTTAATATGAAAACAAGGTAGATGATTTATATAAAGATGTCTTGGTCATGAAAAATCTAAATTAATAAACCCAATAAAATACATAATAATCGAGAATAATTTTACGATAAATGTCAATGTGAAAGGAATATTTGTGTCAGTTTTTTTTGGATATATGTTCATTGTCGATTATTATATTACTATAACTGTTTACACGGCAGTATTAACTGAACCAACCATCACTAGACCGTACAATTTTAATGCAAACATTCATTTGTATAGAAAACAAATTTAGCTTTAGTGTTATACTAATTGGTTGGCATCAAGAAAACACAATTAACAACGTTTAGACAATGCTAAGCGTTTATCTACACCTGGCACCTTTTACACAAGCATAACTGTCTTACGAATTATTTTTTATTGATAAACATCCATTTTATTTGCAAATGTCAGGATAACGTGTAACACCAGATTGTGGTCCCCAGTGTTTCCTGTTGACATCAGTTTGATCGTCTTCACTTAGTAGATGTTCCTCGCTTTCCGCGCTACTGGCAAGACTGTTATGATTAACCACTAGCTCATATCGATAAAGAAGATTATGTGTAAGGTTCATTGAGCGAAAATTCAATGTTTTCATCGATGGCATTGTCAGTTGATGCCATGGCGAACACTCATAATCTACCAAATACTTTTCAGAAACAGTGATCGTCTGTAGGTCAACTCTCCACTCTGTCATGTGATGACAACTTTGCTAATTAACGCTCGGTAGTTTCCGGAATATGAGTAATTTAAACCTTTTTTTGGTCACAAATATATTGCTTTCGAATTTTCTCCTTCAAGATACTTGTATCAACATGCTTTATAAATGTTTTAAACCAATATCAATATAAAATCTTCTTTAAGCATGTGGTTCGATACATCCAGAAACAGTCACTGAACAGCTTAATTCAATATGTTGTTGCGCTTATGATTGCACACTGGCCTTTATGTTAATATCTCCATAAAAAAGCAAAGCTATTATGATGTCAATTCTTATACATAAATAAGTCAGCAATGATAAACGAGGTTAGAATGGAATGGAAACAAAGGTGAGGTGAGGTGAAATGGGTTCACCGTCGAGTTCAAGATTATTGCATGCATATAGTGACCTGCAGGCACGTGTGTGTCTGTGCATGTGCTTGTGTGTGTGTGTGTGTGCGTGTGCGTGTGCGTGTGCGTGTGCGTGCGTGGGTTGCGTGCACTAGTCCGGGCTAATGCAGGTTCAGTCACTACAAATCACAAAGATTCATGAAAGTTATATTTTAAATGATATGGCACAATCAACATGTTGTTTATATCCATTGAACAATGTATTTGTTTACTTTATTTGAGTGAGTGAGTGAGTGAGTGAGTTGGGTTTAACGCCGCTTTTAACAGCGTGTCAGCTTAATGTGGGAGGAAAGCCCGAAGTGATGCAGGTCTCAGACGTTTACCATTTCGGTTAAACCCAGGAGCACGGGTATGGTGCTGACAAACCTAGAAACATAATCGGGTTTGAACCCACAATCATAGGTTTTTGGCGTGCCCAAGGGACGCAACTCTGCATAGCGATACAGAAAACAGAAATACGTAGTGGCATGTAGTTTCAGACAGTGCCATGTGGTGTCTTGAAAGTGTAATGAATATAAGTTGCATGCAGTTCCATGTAATTTCATGTAGAGTCATGTTGACGTGACATATAGAGTCTTAAATGGAATAACAACATAAGATCAAATAAAAGTTTGTTTTTCTCTAAAATGGGAATGTATTCATAATATTATCACGCATTATTGTTTTGGTATCTTTTTGTTTGTTGCATTACAAAATTACTTTTTGGAAATCACTTACTGACATGAGTGTGGGATATATTAAACGCGAAATATTCCATTGCGAAACCACACAGTAAATCCTGAAGGCAACCTATTTTAGTCTATTCTCATTACACCATATTAATTTGCATTTTACCATTCATGATTCGTAAATCTGCATACAAAATTATATATAAGCCAAGATAACCAGGATTTGTCAAAGAATTATTATGCAACTATGATTTAAAACTACAATACATTACAGTACAATGGTTACCCACTTTGCCCCCGTGGTGACCCGGGGTGGACATGAATGTGTCCTCAGCATCCCATTCCCATTGCTTGTCGTAAGAGGCGACCGAATTGGACACCCGTTTACCGTGGGTTGCGCCCCTGTGTCGGGGTCGGGGTGGGGGAAGGGAGGTGGGTGGTGGGTGGTTGGGGTGTGTGTTGGGGGGGGGGGGGGGGGGGGGCGGGGGGGGGAGATACTTGTTGAGGGCACTGGAAACAGGAGCACATGTTCTTTTTGCCCAACACACCACTTCGACATTTCGAAATATCATATCAAACTATTTTTGATCAGGATATATTATAACCTTGATTATGTAAATTTCAATTTTGCTGACTGGCTTCCACTGCAACATCGTCATTGTTGACACTCGATAATGGGTTGGTAGCAGGGATGCCGACTATGATAATATTTTTATGCCATGGTTAACAACAAACCCACTGGTTCATCGAAAGTTAAGGCATCTTTCACAGTCATCTGTTGAAGAAACATCTCCAATGATGAAATAATCTTGGCCAAGATTCCTAGTCATTTCAACTCTGGATGATAGTCCTTTAAACCTTAACCCGTTTGCGATCTGAAAGGTAATTCAAAGTGCCTGTGGTGAGGGTAAGAATATAATTCAAAGTGCCTGTGGTGAGGGTAAGAATATAGTACGTCTCTGTGGTGAATCAATTCTTGTCGAATGTGCACGGAGACAGCAATCTGTCAATCTGTTGAGCCTTCAGCAGTTTGTAAATACACGGGTTGTTGTCTCAGTGCACAAGATCGTTCGAGATCGAGCTCGGTGTCTGTCAGACATGACAAAAGAAGAGATAGCAGCTGAATTCAAAACTCAAGGTGTCACAGCAGTTAAGCGGTTTACAAGAAAAGCAGAAG